TTTTGCGAAGCAGTCATGCTAGCTAAGGAGGAGGCGGGACGCGTGAGGCAGCGAAGCGCTGCCTCCTCGCAACCCAGCCATCGCGAAGGACACACCGGGCGTCGGGGATCGCGAGACGATCTCCGGCCACCGTAAGCGCGGGCCTGCGGACGGCGAGCATGGGTGGCTCCCCGTCCGACCAGAAACAGACCCGAGCGTACGGCGCGTCGCGTTCCGCGCGCGCCTCAAAGAGCCATCAGACCACCACAGATGGGGCCCAATAGGGCCGATGCCGATTCGGAGTCGCGGAGAACCTAACGGGTAACCGGGGCTCCGGCTCGACGTGCAGGAGAAGGAACGGGGTGGTTTTTAGTCAGTAAGAGTCTGACACTCCCTTCCGCCTCACCCAGGCGGGAGCAGTCATTCGATGATTTTCCCCCCTTAAAAAAAAAAAAAAAAAAAAATGCATGAGAACTTTACAGAGCCGCGGAAGACTTAACGGGTTACCGGGGCTCCGGCTCGCAGTGCAGGAGTAGGAACGGGGTGGTTGTCAGTAAGAGTCTGACACTCCCTCCCGACTCACCCAGGCGGGAGCAGTCATTTTCCCCGCTCAAAAAAAGTAAAAGGTCACCGTTTGTTTTAGACACAAAACCGTAAAAATGATAAACAAGTAATTCAATTTATCGTCATAGTTAGACAGCAGTTGAAACATGGACAGACGATGTATTCTATTGCCGTTACAAAATAAATTAAATACCTATATGGAGGGCAATATAACAAAGTATAAAAACTTTGTTGGTAATTTTCGGGCTTTTTTTGAGGGGTAAAATCATCAGATGACTGCTCCCGCCCGGGTGAGGCGGGAGGGAGTGTCAGCCTCTTACTGACTAAAAACAATTCCGTTCCTACTCCTGCACTTCGAGCCGGAGCGTCAGCAACCCGTTAAGCCCTCCGCGGCTCCGTATCGGCATCAGCTCTATTGGGCCCCATCTGTGGTGGTCTGATGGCTCCTTGAGGCGCGCGCGGAACGCGACGCGCCGTACGCTCGGGTCTGTTTCTGGTCGGGCGGCGAATCACCTGTGCTCGCCGTCCGCAGGCCCGTGCTTACAGTGGCCGGACATCGTGAACTTTTAGGGTTGAGTGATGCGTTAGATCCGTGGGGTCCGATTGCCTATACTTTATTTAAAAATGTTTCAAAACGCCTGGTCGACGCATCTCGAGACCAGAGGGCTGGTCTTTTTCTCGGTCAGAGGTTAAGCATTGCCATACAACGTGGCGATGCTGCCAGCCTTCTGGGTACTTTCCCTATTGACGTCGATGCGGACGAATTTTTTAATGTTCTCTGTAAATAGTCATTTTTATATAGTTTTCTTATGTTATTTTCCTTATTTTTTAATTTCCGTATATATATTGTTAACTAGCTGAGCCCGCGACTTCATCTGCGTGGAATAGGTGTTCACAGCTCCTCCGCTTTAGTTGATAGCATGATAATATGTAGCCTATATGTTGACCCGACCTGTTAGTAATATTCATGTAAAATTTGAAATTAAGCCATGCAGTACTTTTTGAGTTTATCCCGGATATACATACAGACAAACTGACAGACAAAATGTCTAAATACCATATTTTTGGTTTCGGTATCGACTGTAGATCACGGCCAAAGCATTCTTTAAAAAAAAATATTCGATGTACAGTTTTCACTTTCCTACGATTTTACCTCTATTATATGTAATAAAATAAATAAATTTTTTAGGACGCAAAATTCTTTAATCTATCTATATATAAAAAAGAAAGTCGTGTTAGTTACACCACTTATAACTCAAGAATGGCAGAATAGATTTGGCTGAAAATTGGTAGGGAGGTAGCTTAGAGCCAGGAGACCGACATAGGATACTTTTTAACCAATTTTTTTTTTACTTTTTACCGAAAATCACGAACGGGGACGGGAAAAAATAGGATTACGCGTACGAAGTCGTGGGCAGAAGCTAGTTTGGTATATTTATAAAAATATAAAAGTTGTTTTTAATAACGTTTGTTGCTCGAATGAATAAATGAACGAGCAGCTCTTTGCGCGCGACTGACTCATATGACTGCCTCGTTGGCCGAGTGGTCGCAAGTGTGACTGCCGGGCAAGGGGTCTCGGGTTCGATTCTAGGGCCGGGCAAAGTATGACTGGGTTTTTAAAAAATTCACAGTAGTAGCACGGAGTCTGGAATTGTGCCCGGTATATGGCAATAGGCTTAACCTCTATTACATGGAACTCATAACATAAATAGTGAAAAGTGGGTGTTACATTGTACAGTGGCATAATGTGCACCTGCCTACCCCTTCGGGGATAAAAGGCGTGATGTTATGTAACCGCATGTACAGATTACTGCGGTCTTGTGAGGCTTAAAAATGAATCTTCATTCCGCCACGGTGGTGGGCGCGGGTGAAATCGGGTCGTGAGTCGGTAGCGTTGGCCGATTCTTGAAATTTTATTTACACAGATTGTAATTCAAAGAATAAACGTGAGTTCTTAAATTTTTACACGTGATTTTCTTTTATTATTACTTAAGTATATAAACGAGCACACGGGTCACCTGATGGTAAGCAATCGGCGTCGCCCATGGACACCTGAAACACCAGAGGCGTTACAAGTGCGTTACCGGCCTTTTGGGTATTAGCAGTTTGAGGATCATTGGGGATTCAGGGATTGGGGAGATTGGAGAAGCGGAGGGTAATTGGGCCTCCGGTAACCTCACTCACACGACGAAACACAACGCAAGCGTTGCTTCACGTCGGTTTTCTGTGAGGCCGTGTTATCACTCCGGTCGAGCCGGCCCATTCGTGCCGAAGCATGGCTCTCCCACACATTTTCAATTCAAAGAACAAACGTGACGTCTTAAATTTGAACACGTAATTATTTCTATTCTAAATCAGCTTGAAGTTTCTACGTAATAAAAACAATTATGTTGTTCATTTTGCAAACAGAATACAATTTATCACGTAGGTACTAATAAATTTTTAGCTATATAGACAAATTTTCTACATTGTATTGCGGAAATAATAATTATATTGAAACCTGCAAATTTGAAGAATGATGCTTTTGTCTGACTAAGGAATCTATTAAAATCCTTGCTCATCAGTTTTGAAGTCACGTTCAATAAGGCCATCGAAATGTATAATGGGCCTGCTGACGGTGAGCATGGGTGGCTCGCCGCCCGATCCAGACACGAGCGTACGGCGCCGAGCGTTCCGCGCGCGCCTCAAAGAGCCATCAGACCACCATGGATGGGGGCCACCTAATAGGGCTGATACCGATACGGAATCGCGGAGAACTTAACGGGTTACAGGGGCTCCGGCTCGACGTGCAGGAGAAGGAACGGGGTGGTTTTTAGTCAGTAAGAGTCTGACACTCCCTCCCGCCTCACCCAGGCGAGAGCAGTCATTCGATGATTTCCCCCCCCTTAAAAAAAGACCTCAAAAACATTGGGATTCTCAGTTTGACCTGCATGTATGTAGTGAACGATTATCTAGCGATAAGTGGAACCGGTTTGGATGTGGTTTTCAGACAACTGTTTGTTACACTTAAAAGAAGGACATAGACTTTAGATAGTATATTAATTGACCGACTTCAATAAAGAAGTGTTTGAAGTCGGTTCTTTTAAATGTGGTTCATGTTTCGGAAAGTATGGATCTACAATTACATCTAACTATAAAGTCTATTTATGACTAGCTTCTGCCCGCGATTTCGTACGCGCAATCCCGTTTTTCCGTACACGTTCGTGATTTTCAGTAAAAAGTAAAAACAAATCTTGGATAATAGTATCCTATGTTTCTAAGCTACCTTCCACCAATACGATAGTTGCCAACTAGTCAAATTCAATACTTTTATCGAAACGTCAAAAACGATACTGTTCTATGAATTTTGTACGAAATACCATGTTATGACGTCATCATATTTACGCGTCAAATGTCACACTTATATCTAAAAAAAAAAATGCTAAAATAAATCGAAAATTAAGTATATCGGCAAATCAGTGAATGAAAGTGTAACTATTGTTCAATATTTAATTGGACTGAAAAATCAAATATATTAAAGAAGGGCCAAATTAAAAGTAGGTACCCTTAACCGAGGAGCATGCATGAAAAGATTGATGACTGTTAATGAAGCGAAAGAGGTATGTAAGAATCGTAGTAATTGGCGTTCCTTACTCTCTGCCTACCCCCATGGGAGACAGGCGTGAAGTTATGTATGTATGAAAAATCAAAATAATTTATTTTTGACCCAGGAAACTACCCAATTTTCATCCAAATCGATTCAGCCGTTCTTGAGTTGTAAACAGTGGAACTAACACGAATTTCTTTTATAGATGATCATATTTTTTGATGGGGGAAAATCATCCAATGACTTCTCCCGCTTTCGGTTAGGAGGGAGGGAGTATCAGACACTTACTGACTAAATATCACTCTGTTTCTTCTCCTCCTACAAGCTGTGACCCCGGTTAATTTTTTTTTTGACGTGACAACGTCTTATAAATTGGTTTGCCGGGTGACACTTCAAGAAACTGCGTTACGCTCCGCTCACGTTATGCGCTCACAATGAGAGCGAGTGAGAGGCACGCGTCCCTTCCACTCGGGCATGGTTAGCCCGCCTAAGAGCGAGAGAGACAGACATAAAAAGTGAATTATTTCATCCTTCTTTCTACTATACTAATGAATATACACATTAAAATTATTTTACCACTCAAAGTCGTTGTCACGTAAAACTTCCGCCCGTATACCCACTTTACAGGCAACCAATTTTTTTTAAAAAAACGTTGCCCCACACTAGGATTTTCTCCTGTGTCGTGGGTGCGTTTACAAACATACAAGTTCACATACACAATGACACCCAGACACGAAACAACAATTTGTGGATCAAACAAATTGTTGTTCCGTGCGGGAATCGAACCCGCGACACGTTGCACGGCAGCCGGTTGCCCAGCCACCGCACCAACCGTGCAGTCAATGATTGACTTTGTCTTTCTGTTATCCAGGTGAGCCTTGTGAGTGGGATGGTGTTAAGGGGCAGTGTGTGAAGGAGTCCAGATGTCTTACCACCCTAGACACCCGTGGGGATAAACACTTAGTAAGTTTTCTATACAATAGTTTTTTTACACCTAAACACTACACATACATTCACACTACACCAACATTTTCATACACAAAATAATAATTAAGTATGCACTCGCAAATCAAAAGAGGCTGCATCAGTACCTACTTAGAAATAATATATAGTACAGTATATTAGAATAATGTTTATTCCATTCTAAACCTGTTTGAAGTGTTCGTCCAACAACTTAAGTTTGTGCAAATGAAGATGGACAACGGTGGTACCCATAACACAAGTTTGATCTTACCTTGGGTACCATAGTTTCATCAAGTACTCACTTTTTATATGATGTTGTAACGATTAATTTTATATATAAGAGTTACTGTACAAATTATGGTTAATAAACATTTATTATTATTTATTATTATTACTACTTTAATCAACTTTAAGGGCTCGTACACAAAACTGCGATGCGATGTCGCACCGCAAAAATGTGCGAGCTCCCTCTACGCATCGCAATGATTCCCATCGCGCATCATAATCTAATCTTCCCAAAATCTTCTTTGTTTCTTTTCCCTGTATCTCTTAAGAAACAACTGATATGCACTGCTGCCGACTGGTTGCAAGTGCGTCTGCCGGGCACGGGCGTTTAGGGTTCGATTCCCGGGCCGGGCAAAGTATTACTGGGTTTTAAAAAAATTCTCAGTAGTAGCACGAAGTCTTGACTGGAATTGTGCCCGGTATATGGCAATAGGCTCATCCACTATTACATGAGACTCTTAACATATATAGTGAAAAGTGGGTGTTACATTTTTCAGTGGCATTGAGTATCGCAATGTGCACCTCTGCCTAATTGAGGGTGGGTAGGGAGTGAACCTATTGCCATATGCTGAGCCCAATTCCAAACTTCGTGCTACAACCTAGATTTTTAGACAGACTATTATTTATTTTGTATTTGTTGACGTTTCAAAAGTACCAAATTATGGTTTAATTGAAATAAATGCTTTGACTTTGACAAAAATTGTAAAAAAATATATTTTGTTTTGTCTATCGTTTGTATACAAGGTGTAGTTTTGAAACCGTGTCATTTCTCGAGGGCATGTCACAGAAGTCATAAAGGTAAGTTAAAGTTTCAGGCCTGTTGTTAAAAATACGGCTATAATAAAACGTTTAAGTTTGACAATGTTTCAAAATAAGCGACAGCAATGGTTCTTATTGGAGTTTTATGGAATTAGGAATAGGTAATATCAATTACGTGTTTGAGTTTGTGTGTGTAGAGCCGCGTTATAAAACTAGTTACAAGACGGCGGCGTGTAGTTCGCACTTACGGATTTTCGTAATTTACAGAAAAATGAAAAATATTTACATACAATTTTTTTATTGATTCGGACTCAGAATCGATAGCCGAGTTACCTCCTAGAAAATGACGCGGCTTTAAAACAACACCTGGTATATTCATAAGCATGCAGTAAAAAGCAGTGATTTTAATAATACAAACAGATATTAGGTATTATAATCTTATGTATTTGTATAAATGTAATTTCTTTAATCCTAGGTATGTTCCAAGAAAGGCGATGTGAACATTATTTGCTGTACTGACTGTTCGCTGGTAAATGATACGAGGTACAACTGTTTTTCTCTAATCAACACGCTTTCATTAGGTCGACTAGGGTGCTTACTCTTGAAACCAATCTCAATGCAATGCAATTTCAATCCAATAAAATCTCAATTATCATTCAATGTCAAAATTGTACAACCCCTATCGTAGCTGTTGAAATAGCATTTAGAGTACGGAATATAAAGCCAAACTCAATACCATTTAGTTTATTTAATATCCACGCAATACGGGTGCAATGGGCGCTAGTGTTGCAACTCAAGAGTATGAAATTTCGCAATACCAATGTCGATCGATCGGAATTGGATTCAAGAGTAAGCCACCTGTACCGGACTATGTAACACAATCTAAGAATCTGAATTACACACACTTGTAATTGTTGTATCGTCGTGAAACTCGGCAGTTGTATGTAGATTAGATGACAATACAATATTATGGTGCCATCGAGCTGGTTTGTAGTTTGGAAGGTGGTTGATGGAACCTTGGACTGCCTGTTTTTTTATGGGATAAGCCGGTAAACGAGCAGACGGTATCACCTGATGGTAAGCAATCGGCTTTACCAATGGACACCTGGAACACCAGAGGCGGTACAAATGCGTTACCGGCCTTTTGGGGATTAGGAATTTGAGAATTGTTGGGGATTCGGGGACTGGGGAGATTGGTGGGGGGGGGGGGGGGGTAAATGAACCTCCGGTAACGTCACTCACACGACGAAAAACAACGCAAGCGTTGTAACATGTCGGTTTTCTGTGAAGCTGTTGGGATTAGGAATTTGAGAATTGTTGGTGATTCCGGGACTGGGGAGATTGGTGTGGGTAAATGGATGTCCCGTAACCTCACTCACACGACGAAACACAACGCAAGTGTTGTTAACATGTTGGTTTTCTGTGAAGCTGTATAGTGGTATCGCTCTGGTTGAGCGGAAAATATTATTTTAAGAATTAACTGTATTAAACGTGTTATTTATATTTTTTTTAAAAGGTAGCCATTAATTTATTATTTAGCTCTTGACTACATTTCTTCTTTTCTTCCTCGCCCATATCGCTGTCTGTGGATCTACAGGTCAGAACATTAACTTCTGTGTTATTTTACAGGAACGTCGTAATGAGTCCACAGACTGGTTTCTTCTGGAAGGATGGAACTAAGGCTAGGGACGGTAAGTGATGCTTTTATTTTTGAGGGGAGACAATCATCCAATGATTTTGATTTCTCTCGCCTGGATGAGGCGAAAGGAAGCGTCAGACTCTTACTGACTAATAGCTATCTTGTTCTTACTCCTGCATTTCGAGCCGTAACCCCGGCAACCCGTTAAACCCGTGTCAATTATTATGAAAGAAAGAAAGAAAAACGGTTACACGGTTGGTGCGGTGGCTGGGCAACTGGCTGCCGTGCAACATGTCGCGGGTTCGATTCCCGCACGGAACAATACTTCGGGTACGTCTGGGTGTCATGTATATGTGAACTTGTATGTTTGTAAACGCACCCACGACACAGGAGAAAATCCTATTGTGGGACAACGTTTTTAAAAAAACAAACATTTATTTCGCCATGACACACAACAAGAATTTAGGTACACACAAAAAAGCCTATGATGCGTCGCAGCGCAAAGGCTGGAGCTCAGCTTAATACCGTGGACCGGGCACAGAGGCTCGAGCCAGCCCGTAATAGTACGTACTAGTTATACACCTACGTTAACGCTGTTCGGAGCACAGCATGATATCCTTACTTGATAATATTATAAATCTGAAAGTGAGTTTGTTTGTTTGTTTGTTTGTTTTTTCCACCACCACGCCGTAACTACTCAACCGATTGCTTTGAATTTTTGCAGACGTAAAGTTAGAAGTCCGGATTAAATAATAGGGTACTTTTAACCCGGAAAAATTGATATTCCCGAGGGAAAACAAAAGTATTGGTATAGATGGCGCTGTGTGTATTGGTATATGTCACATAGGCTACTTTTTATTCTTTTGTGACGCGAGCGAAGCCGCGGGTAAAAGCTATAAATAATAAAATTAATATAAAAGTAAATTATGTTCCTGACTTACTTACGTAACTATCTGACGAGGAACTAAAAAGACTATACTCGGAATTTTAATTCGATTCCAGATTTGACAATTTCAGTATTGCAACGTTATGACAAGTACTAAATAGTGACGTTGCGAAATTATTCGATATGGAAATGCAATATTTCTGGATCGATTCTTCTCGTTTATAATTTTACTCTCGTAAACTAAGTATATCAGGAAATTAAATATTTCTGAACCGATAATTTAGTTTTGACGATTAATAAATTAGAAAAGTCTTATAATTGTGTGTGAAATAAATAAAAAAATGTAATCATGACAAATAAAACAGATAGATGTATTATGGTAATAATTTATTTTATAAATTGTCGCCGTCATCGCTATCGCTATCGCTGTCACTTTCTGTAACATTTATTATAAAACACACACACTGATTGTTTATCGATTTTTGTGTTCATCACTACACTATTTTATGTGGTATCATTATTTCTCAAAATGACAGTAGCTAATGTCAAATCTGGAATCTAATTAAAATTCTGACTATAGTTACAAGCCATGCTAGAGGCATGAGCAGCATTCCGCGACACCTGACGCGGCGACTGTCGCGCTGCTACTGGCTACTCGAGTCTGCTACGTTGCGGGCCCCGCGCCCTCTGCCGTGAACTAGTCGAGTTCCTCGTCAAACAGTTACGTAAGTAAGCCGGAGGCCTAAAAACCCCCCTCCCCCCTTTCCCCAATACCTGAATTCCCAACAATCCTCAAATTCCTAATTCAGAAGGCCGGTAACGCACTTGTAACGCCTCTGGTGTTCCAGGTGTCCATGGGCGACGCCGATTGCTTACCATCAGGTTATCCGTCTGCTCGTTTACCAGCTTATCCCAAAAAAAAAACATAATAATTAATTTAGTATGTCTCATGGCAGTTTTAATATTGTCATGTGTCGTTGAAATTTTAGTGTGTGTCGCCATATTAGTTTTGACTTTGAATATTGCAGCTTGCCTCCAGTACTTGGACAGCTTGCCATATAGATGCCGTGATGGCGGGTTCTACTCCGGCATCAGCAAATCGTACGATGAGAAGAATAAATGCCATGCTATAGGTCTGTGGGGAATTGGGGGAGCCCCTTCACCAGGATATGAGCCTGGAGCTGAATATCCTCATCAGGTATGCTATAATTGTTTGTTGGGTGTTGGTTGTTGACGTTAGATTTCGAATGCTGGATGTTGGGTATTATATATTGGATGTTGGATGGATGATGGATGATGGATGGATGCCGTACTATGGACGATGTATAATGGATGATGAATGTTAGACGATTGACAGTGGATGAAGAATGTTTGATGTTGGATGGATGATCATTGGATGTTGGACAATGGACTGTGGATAATGAATGATGAATGATGGATGTTAAATGATGGATGATGGACGATGGATGATGGACGATGTATGATGGTTGATGAATGACGGATGATGAGAAATACTATCAATTATTTTCATTTATCTTTACTTTCACAGGCATTGCTAGGCTTTGGAGATAGTTTAGAGACCGCCAAGTGGCTGGCAGGAGGTTCCATCATCAGCGACAGATACATCCTGACTGCGGCCCATGTGAACAGCAACACACACTTGTGAGATTCTTAACAGATTTTTTTTATGGCATAAGCCGGTAAACGGGCAGATGGATCACCTGATGGTAAGCAATCTGCGTCGCCCATGGACACCTAGAACAACAGAGGCGTTACAAGTGCGTTACCTGCTTTTTAGGGATTAGGAGTTTGAGGATCGTTGGGGATTCGGTTTTCTGTTTATCTGCTCACTCCGGTCGAGCCGCCCCATTCGTGTCGAAGCATGGTTCTCCCACACTTTTTTATGCGTATTTCTGTGTATTATTGGAGCTGTTTCATCTACAGGAATAGACTGCAGTTTGTTGCTTTGGGAGTGAAGAAGCTATCGGATCCTCCATCCTCCTGGCAGGTGCACAGAGTGAAAAGATTCATCCCCCACCCGGATTATAAAGCCCCCCGCAAATATCACGATATCGGTTTAATTGAGACTGAAAATCAGTAAGTACTACTTTAAATTAATTTTTTAGAAATGTTTTTTTAAACGGGGAAAGTCATCGAATGACTGCTCCCGCCTGGGTGAGGCGGGAGGGAGTGTCAGACTCTTACTGACTAAAAATCACACCGTCCTGCGCTTCGAGCAGGAGCCTCGGTAACCCGTTAGGTTCTCCGCGACTTTTTTTTTGGGATAGGCCGGTAAACGATCAGAATGGATCACCTGATGGTAAGTAATTGACCCCACTCATGGATACCCGCTACACCAAAGCGGTTACAAGTGCATTTTTTTTTTGCCCCACACTAGGATTTTCTCCTGTGTCGTGGGTGCGTTTACAAACATACAATTTCACATACACATAACACCCAGACCCGAAACAAGAATTTGTGGATTACACAAAGAGTTGTTCCGTGCGGGAATCGAACCCGCGGCACGTTGCGCGCCAGCCAGTTGCCCAGCCACCGCGCCAACCGTGCAGTCATTGCCGGCTTTTTGGGGGTTGAGGATTGGGGAGGGGAGCAAATGGGCCGCGGGTAAATTCACTCACGCGGTGAATCACAAGGCGTCACTAGTCAAGGTTTCACGGCGGTTTTCTGAGAGGCTGTGGCATCACTGCGGTCGTGGTGGCCTGGAGGCTTAAGACGCCCGCTTCTCATGCATGAGGGTGCGGGCTCGAAACCTACCAACGGCAAGTATCAATGTGACTTTTTCCGAGTTATATGTGCTTCCTAAGATTATCTAGACACCACTGACAAACGGTGAAGGAAAACATCGTGAGGAAACCTGGGCTTATAATTTCTTATTATGAGTTTGAAATCGCCAACCCGCATTGAGTAAGCGTGGTGATTAATGCTCACAAACCATCTCCGTGTGAGAAGGTCAGTAGTAGCCACTTATAGGCTGTTGTTGTTGATGATGATGATAATGATGATAGATAAGGACTGCACGGTTGGTTCGGTGGCTGGGCAACCGGCTGCCGTGCAACGTGTCGCGGGTTCGATTCCCGTACGGAACAACACATTGTGTGATCCACAAATTGTTGTTTCGGGTCTGGGTGTGATGTGTATGTGAACTTGTATGTTTCTAAACGCACCCACGACACAGGAGGAAATCGTAATGTGGAGCAATGTTTTTAAAAAAGAATAACTGCGTTTAAGCTGGCCCATTCGTGCTGAAGCATGGCCCTGCAGCGCAAAAGATATGACTAGTTACATTAATAACCCGTCCTCCTTCCAGGATTACCTTCAACAAGGACGTACTACCAGCTTGTCTCCATGTGACAGCTGTTGAGGACAGCACTGCCATTACGACTACTTGGAGGGATTTGAAGAAGGACTACAGTCAATTCGCAGACACTATTCAAACAGTATGTTGTTTATCATCATAATTATCATAATGTTTATATGTAAACAGTGACTCATGTAGTCAACTGATGGTAGCGAGGTTCACTGTCCAGTGACACACGTACGCTGGTATCGTCTTGAGCTAATGTTCACATGTAAACAGTGACTCGTGTAGTGTAGATGGCCAGTCAACTGATGGTAGCGAGGTTCACTGTCCAGTGACACGTACGCTGGTATCGTCATGAGCTAATGTTCACATGTAAACAGTGACTCGTGTAGTGTAGATGTCCAGTCAACTGATGGTAGCGAGGTTCACTGTCCAGTGACACACGTACGCTGGTATTACCATGAGCTAATGTTCACATGTAAACAGTGACTCGTGTAGTGTAGATGTCTAGTCAACTGATGGTAGCGAGGTTCACTTTCCAGTGACACACGTACGCTGGTATCGCCATGAGCTAATGTTCACATGTAAACAGTGACTCGTGTAGTGTAGATGTCCAGTCAACTGATGGTAGCGAGGTTCACTGTCCCGTGACACACGTACGCTGGTATCGTCATGAGCTAATGTTCACATGTAAACAGTGGCTCGTGTAGTGTAGATGGCCAGTCAACTGATGGTAGCGAGGTTCACTGTCCAGTGACACGTACGCTGGTATCGTCATGGGCTAATGTTCACATGTAAACAGTGACTCGTGTAGTGTAGATGTCCAGTCAACTGATGGTAGCGAGGTTCATTGTCCAGTGACACACGTACGGTGGTATCATCATGAGCAAATTTTTTTTTTGGGATAAGCCAATAAACGAGCAGACGGATTACCTGATGGTAAGCTATCGGCGTCACCTATGGACACCCGGAACACCAGAGGCGTAACAAGTCCGTTACCGGCCTTTTGGGGATTAGGAGTTTGAGGATGGTTGGGAATTCAGGGAATGGGGAGATTGGAGAGAGGGGTAATTGGGCCTCCGGTAACCTCACTCACACGACGGAACACAACGTAAGCGTTGTTTCACGTCGGTTTTCTGCTCGGTCGTGGCATCACTGCGGTTGAGCCAGCCCATTCGTGCGGAAGCATGGTTCTCCCACACTTATGTTTACATGTATTTGGTTTTAGATTAATCTGGAGAAGTTTACTGAAGATGAATGTAAATCAGCGTATTCATCTCACAGACTGTTGCGTGAAGGTATAAATTACAGCACCCAAATGTGTTATGGAAGTAAAACACAAGCGCCAGAAGCATGCAAGGTAATTGTTTATGATAATTTCTAACCATATCTCGACCACGTCTCCGATCCAAGAAGCAATAATATTAACTAAAATCGCGGCTTACTCACATGAATATACCGAGAAAAGCTCTTCTAGTTTCGAACCACAGAGGGGTTCTTCCTCATGAGCAACGTGAGTGGTCGCGGTGACGTCGCGCAGCTCAGTGTCGTCGGGTCATCTCTGCGTCCCCGGCTGGGGGCGCGAGGTCGCGCGATCCAGGCCGATGCCTGTTTCGGCGGATGCACTCGCTGCCTGCTACAGCAGGCGAGGGGTTGGATTAGTCGGGCTCCTTGCGGGGCCCGATGCGGTGTCGAGTAAAGTAAAGTGAGCTCCCCCCCAACCCCTTTGTGGTCCAAAACTTTTAGAGCTTCTCATGATAGTTATTATAAAAACACAGCAGTAATATTGTAGGTTGTTATTTACGTCACTCAATTTTAAATCGCGCTGAACTATAGTTGGTACTGTCTCTGCATATTCTTCTAAAGTGACAGAGACGACACGATATTTGAGTACGACTTCAAACTGAGTAGCCCTTCAGTATTTGGACGCGAGTTCATCAAACGGTGGTGCTGTCCGATCTTTGCTATTGCTAAATGTGTTTCTTAGTCAGTTCTTTAGACAGATTTGGATGACAATTTTTAACTATGGGATAAGCCGGTAAACGAGCCGACGGATCACCTGATGGTAAGCAATCGGCTTCGCCCATGGACATCTGGAACACCAGAGGCGATACAAGTGCGTTACCGGCCTTTTGGGATTAGGAGTTTGAAGATTGCTGTAGATACAGGGATTGGGGAAGGGGGGAGATAATTGGGCCTCCTGTAACCTCACTCACATGACTCAACATAACGCAAATGTACTCTTCTTTACCCTCACTGACTTTACTTTTGTTTTTTTTCTTCTCCTCTTATAATATCTTCTAATTCACTTCGTTGCGGGAATCAAGACGCGAAGAAGTTATGTCCCTGGGACGCGCCGGACTTCAGTGTCCCGGTGTTTTCATGGTTGTATCTACTGTAGATCCTGGCTCACAGGAGTTGTAAGCGGTTTTGGGAGGTTGTGGCGGGCTTGTCCCATAAAAAAGTGACTATCTTTACACTTAGTTTTATTTTCTTCTGCAGGGTCTGTCTGGGGAACCGCTACTGGTGAAGAATCAATTCTCCCGCTGTATCTACGCCATTATAGGAATTACATCATTCGGGTCTTCACGCTGTGACAGTTCCGCATTACCTGATGTATTCACCAGGGTGGCTTACTATAAACCCTGGATTGAAGAACAGGTTTGGGGGTAGAAAATAAAACAAGAAGAAAGATAAGGCCTGCTAAAATGTACATCTTTGCTGTGAATCAAGTCAACATCGTCGTTATTATCAATCTGTTTATGGGGTAGCACGGCAAACGAGCAGGATCACCAGTGCCTTTAGCCAAACGCCACTTTAGCGCTTGTCTACAGAGCGAGTAGAAATCAAAATGTATGGGGATGACACTGGCAAGTGTCAAAATTTACGTCAAATCCATATAATTTGGTTTTCTATTCTACATGTAGACAAGCGCTAAATGGCATTTGGTTACAGCTGCTGGGCCTCAAGTCTGCTATTATAATAGTGTCACAATGATTGATCATTGATTTCAAAATTGTTCATTTTGACAAGTTTGGTAACCTATGCGTCTGAGCGGCGTATACTTAAGTTTGTCGAACGCATATGTTGAATAAATCAAACGCTTTATAATGTGAAGGCAATCAAAAATATTAGACACGTTTTTTTATTTCAAATACATTCGACGATAATTATTATTATAGTGATTTGATTAATCAAGTGACGTCACGTAAACTTCATTTTATAGGTAAACAACTGTGACATATAATGATCTCGTCAGTCGTAATATTAGAATTCGTTTAACTCGTCGAGTACCGGTTTTATAGACACAATTAAAGAACAATAGGTCGCGGTCACCGGTGACCGCTTGGTGTTTGACAGTTTAATCTAAGTCAAGGACGTTGAAAGAAAGGTAGACACAATCTCTTGAAACAACGACTGCGGCACCTGGCTACTATAGACTTACACGCAGAACACACACACATTGACACGAAGGACATCTGTTGCGTGACATGGCCCGTCATTACACTTCATACATTACGGTGTGGCAAGTACACGCAGATAGATACACCACTGATATTTTGGTGCTTCTATTATTTCTAACTGACATTACGTTAGCCTTTTTTCAACGTCACTGGGTGCTTACTCTTGAAACCAATCTCAATGTCAATGCATTTTCAATCCAATACAATCTCAATAATTATTAAATATCAACACTATACAACCCCTATCGAAGCTGTTAAAATAGCATTCAGAGTACGATATATAAAGCCAAACACAATACCATTTAGTTTATTATATATCCATGCAATACGGATGCAATGGGCGCTAGTGTTGCAACTCAAGAGTACCAAATTTCACAATGTCAATGTCGATCGATCGGAATTGGATTCAAGAGTAAACCAGCCCACAGATCTAAGTATTGTTTTTTTATACGACAAAATAAAAAATACGTGTCTAATATTAACTAAAATCACGGGTTAATCACGTGAATATACTGAGAAAAGCTTTACTAGTTCTTCAGTATATTAATGTGAGTAACCTGTGATTTTAGTTAATTTAGTATGTCTCACGATAGTTATTATAAAAACGTGTCTAATATTGTTTAATAATCTAACTGACGGACCAAATAGATTTTTAATTTCATCATTCGTTTTGGTTAAACAGACAGATGATAATAGTGACGTCAAATTTGAAAATAAATACAAATATTGTTTATTTCGTCAATGTAGGTATGTTACAATAGATGGTAGATAATATTCTGGTAGTGCGCCACATTGTGTCTGTACAGACATACAAAATTTTTATAGTATGTTCTTAATCTAGTGTGTTTACAGACAATAATCTTCTCTGTCTACATTATGGAACATAATACACCTAATTACAAACTAAATTAATATTAACATCAAGTTTTAATAAAACTATTATTTGTGTTGAAAATTTACTCTATCAGCCGTATACTCAATTAAACTATAATAACATTCAAGTAACTAAATATTTACATAAACTTAAGGAAACAATAAAAATCTTCATTGTCAACATTATAAATTTCCTCTGTCATCAGTCATAAATTCGGTTAAATTATAATAACATTTAGTTATTAAAAACTGCCTTAGTTTTTTTTTGAAAAGAGGTAAGTCTAGTGCTTTGATTTCCTTAGGTAATCTATTATATATTTGTGCAGCAACCCTGAAAATACTCTTACTAAAAAGCGCTGTATTACCATGTACTACTTGAAGGTCACCAGTATCCTTTTGCCTCAGCCTGGAATCGCGTGGGGGCTTTAATTCAAATAGACATCTGTTACATTTAACAAAGGAATTTTTGAATGTAATTTTGTACTGTATATGTCATGGAAAATACATTTTTAGTGTTGCAAATAAAACACACGTATATAATCTACAAAACGTGTTATTATTTCTTTGAACACATTTTTCTTAGCAAATAATGTGCGGTTGGCAATCTTGACATTTGTTTAAGTGCCCCTGCACATTAGGACGTAAGCAGCGCGCACAGTAGCGCGGTAGAAGCGCATTCCTTCACAATATAAGAACAGCAACGCGTCAGCAGCGCCTCAGTTTAGTTCAGTGTGGCGCACTCCATTTCTACATACTTAACGACCACGCCCACGTGCACATTATACCATTGTACAATGTAACACCCACTTTCCACTATTTATGTTATGAGTCCCATGTAATAGGGGGTGAGCCTATTGCCATATACCGGGCACAATTCCAGACTCCGTCCTATTACTGAGAATATTTAAAAACCCAGTAATACTTTGCCCGACCCGGGAATCGAACCCGAGACCCCCTGCCCGGCAGTCGCACTTACGACCACTCGGCCAACTATTTATGCATTTCAGAAATGAAGTGCTTACTGAAGAGCTTGATGGCCTCGTTGTGCACCTTTGCCTACCCCTTCGCCCCTTCGGGGATAAAAGGCGTGATGTTATGTTATGCTGGCTCATTGCCGACTGACACACGCGGCGGCAGTGCGCGACCGCTACGCTTCTGTTTAAAACTATGAAATTCTGGCTGAGCGACATTCGCGCGGTTGACGCACCACAGTCGCGCTGCTAAAGTCACCTCAATGTGAAAGAGCTCTTAATATCATGCTAATAAAATATGAATATTAACGTTTGAGTCATCGGGTTTTTTGTTCGTTCATATATATATGTGTACACAAGTGTTATTAAAGACCAGATTTTTTGATCTTTTGTCTAGCTATAACGACTGGTGTTGTTTTGGTAACTGGGTCTAATGGAATCACGTGGTTTGCGGTTCAGGGGTTTTCGGATATTGAGCATACAGATGATATTTGTAATTAACAAGAAAAGCATGAGAAGTTGTTTTTTTTAAGGATCACCTGATTGTAAGCTATCGGCGTCGCCTATGGACACCTGTAACACTAGACGCGTTAGAAGTGCGTTACCGGCCTTTTGGGGATTAGGAGTTTGAGGATTGAAGGGATTCAGGGATTAGGGAGATTGGGGAGGGGGGGGGGGGGAGATTGGGCCTCCGGTAACCTCACTCGCACGACGAAGCACAACGCAAGCATGGTTTCGTACAAAACTTAAAATGAAACAATTCAAGTAGGTATAAAGAACTGTTAATTTTATAATTATAATTTATTTAAATTAATAAGTTATCACAATAGTTTACAGAATGGCAAGGAAATGTTTTTTTAACCTTATATAGGGGTGATACCACATAGGGATGATGATAGGGTACAACGATAAAGTGTTTATGTTTAACTAGCTGTTGCCCGCGACTGCATTCGCGTAAAATAGAATTTTAGAACACACTTTTTTGTTTTAATTATCCAAAATAAAAGTTGCCTATGTTGCTCCTTAATACATCAACTACTTGCCAAAAAAAGTCTTGCGAAAGCGGTCCAGCCATTACAGAGATTAGCCAGTACAAACAGACAGACAAATATTTAGATATGCGTATCGTATGTATATTCATATGCATGTAGTAAAAAGCGGTTATTTTAATATTACAAACAGACAGTACAATTTTATTTATATGTATAGATTTTGTTACAAACAGTTGAGATCATCGTTTGTGCGAATGCTTCCATTATGATTCATCAACAGCCTATAAGTGGCCACTGCTGGCCAGACGCCTCTTCTCACACGGAGAAAGTTTGAGCATTAATCAATACGCGTGCTCAATGCAGCGATGACAATAAATCCGTTCCTACACATGCGCCATCTAGTGAGAAAAACGTTAGCCTTCACTGCGGTACATCACCATTGTTCAAGGCCACACAATGCTTTCAATCCAGGGTATATATTGTGTGACTTTGGTGTACATTCCTGAACTGCCTGTGGGCCCACAGGTCCTGTCGATGGACATTACTCCCAGGATCAGGCGAGTACAGTGGAAAGCACGTCTTCTGTATAGTAAAGGACTTCCGCTGTCACTCTGAAAAAAAAATTGTTACAATTAGATTTTTTATACCACGACCTCTATATAGGTCTATATAGGCCTTTACCAAATAGGGGTTCTTACAGGATGCAAACTAACCAACACTAAGTATAACTTAACTTCAAGATTTTAATTTACACTAACAATACAATACTAACAGTAAGAATAAAATGTAAAATTACCTGTAACAAATAAATGCCTTTTTTATTTTATTATTTTATATACCATGACGCGGCGGGGACAAGGGGACAAAGAGCACACGGTCCACCTGATGGTAAGTGGTTACCGTGGCCTATGTATGCCTGCAATACTTGGGGCATTACATGCGTCTTGCCGACCCTTAAAAAACCTTTTTTTATTCCCTTCTTGAAGATTATTAAGGCTCGGATCAAGAGGTCACTGATTCGGTCAGTCGTAGCAAAGAATTATAGGGTTTTGAGACAAGCCTGCCATAACCACAAAATTTAAGTGTGACAGAGCCATGATTCGGTATAAATGGCTAGGCTCGACCAGAGTGTTACCACGGCCTCACAGGAAACCGACGTGAAACAACACTTGCGTTCTGTTTAGATGTTACCGGAGACCGAATTTCTCCTCCCCTTCCTTCCTTATCCTCAAATCTTGTCGCGGAAAACCTAACGCGTTACCGGGGCTACGGCTCGATATGCAGGAGAAGGAACGGGGTGGTTTTTAGTCAGTAAGAGTCTGACACTCCCTCCCGCCTCACCCAGGCGGGAGCAGTCATTCGATGATGTTCCCCCCTTAAAAAATACTTAAATCTTCCAAGTCATCCATTTATCATCATCGTACTTTTTATGGAATAAGGCGGTAAACGAGCAGATGAATCATCATCACTATGATGGTAAGCAATCGGCGCCATCCATATACATTTGAAACACCAGAGCCGTTACCGACCTTTTGGGTGTTGGGCTCCAGTAACCTCACTCAAACAACGAAATATAACGCAAGCGTTATTTCACGTCGGTTTTCTGTGAGGCTGTGGTATCACTCCGGTCGAGCCGGCCCATTCGTGTCGAAGCATGGCTTTCCCACACTGAAGCTCATCTCATCAGCCATACTCTGTACGACGCGTCACGTTCAGTGCTTGTCTCAAAGAGTCATCAGACCGCTACAGATAGGGCTCAGTAGGGCTGATGCTTATCCCTGGCTTCAGTTCGAAGAGCAAGAATAGGAACAAGGGGGTTTTTAGTCAGTAAGAGTCTGACACTCTCTCTCGCCTCATCCATAGTGGGAGACGGTCATTGGTTGAATTTCATCCCTCAAAATCATATATATCAGATTACCTTACCTGACAGGAATCTTCAGGTTTCATGACATCTCCATAGCAGATCTGTGTGCTGGCGTTAAACCCGAGAGGCAGTTCATCATGAGGGGGGTAGTAGAAGGAGCATTGGACTTCACTGAATTCATATGTGGAGAACTGGAAATATATTACAAAACTTGAATGAATGTATGTACCTATCACTAATCGTGGATGTACATACCTACACCATACTGATCAGCTAACTTACGACCGGTTTCTCCTTTTTTTAATGAATCAATAATATTTATTTTGTCTTTAAGCGATAACACCACTCTCTTACGTTTTGACAATTTTAAATATGTAGACGTGATACACGTCAGATCGGAGGGACAACACCTAGCTAACTAAAACAAAACAATAACGAATCGCGCGGGACAGCGATCGCGCAGGGCGTGTGCGGGGTAGTGCGAGTTCCAACACGTTCACGTTACGTCGGTAATGGTCACCTATCTTTATTAAGGGATTCCAATTTGTTGGGCCGTTGTTTTTTTTAACCGACTTTCAAAAAAACGAAGGTGGTTTTCAATTCGGTTGTATCTTTTTTTTTGTGTGTACCTATGCTACGCTATTTTTTGTTATCGATTGTAAGATAGCACCAGACCCACCTGGGTGCTTAACTTTTGAAATCAACCTCAATTTCAATCCAATAAAATCTCAATGTCAACACTATACAACTCCAATCGTAGCTCTCTGGTAAAATAGCATTCGGAGTACGGAATATAAACACAAACTCAATACCATTTAGTTCATTCAATATCCACGCAATACGGATGCAATGGGCGCTAGTGTTGCAACTCAAGAGTACGAAGTTTCACAATACCAATGTTGATCGATCGGAATTGGATTCAAGAGTAAGCCCCCTGATGGTCTATGAACGCTTGCAACACTTGGGTCTGATTTATACTCACCACTTCTAATTCTTTCTGGTTTTCACCAGTTGAGCTCCAAATCAGTACACCTGCTTCATCAGTATCGGTGCTCTCCGGATCTGAATGCAGACAGGCTGGAAGCACTTGCCGGCTGAATTGTATCCTGGACAATATACAACAAGATTAGCAGGTTCGAAATTTGGCAAGCAACAATATGAGTCTGATTCATCATGTATGTACTAACGTTATTTAGACACTTGCTGTTGCCCGCAACTTCGTCCGCGTAGGATATAAATTTGAGGATACTTTTATTACTGTTGGACTAATAGATCGCTGTTCAGCTGGCTCGCCCGGGTAGAGCGCGGCCCACAGCGGCGCAAACCACTCAACACGACGCTACATCGGGTCTTACAAGGGACCCAACTACTCCAACCCCTCGCTTGCAGTCGCAGGCAGCGACCAGAAACTGCCGAGACAGGCATGGTTTGCGTGACCTCGTGCCCCCAGTCGGGGACGGTGAGAAAACTACGGAGACAACTGTTGGGCAGTAACCCCGCCAGGCACGATCACCTCGCCTGGTCGGAGGACCTTCCTTTTCCGATCTTAGGGAACTATACTCTCTGTTCCCTAAATCTTATTCTTTAGTAGACTAGCTACTTGCCAATAAAAGTCCCGTCAAAATCGGTCCAGCCATTCCAGAGATTAGCCAGTATAAACAGACAAAATTTTTAAAAGATGTTATTTTGGTATAATTGTGTATCGTATGTATATTCATATACATATAGTAAAAAGCCGTCATTTTAATATTACAAACAGACATTCCAATTTTATTTATCTGAATAGACTTTTTTTTTTAAAGGGGGGAAAATCATCGAATAACTGCTCCCGCCTGGGTGAGGCGGGAGGGAGTGTCAGACTCTTACTGACTAAAAACCACCCCGTTCCTTCCCCTGCACGTCGAGCCGGAGCCCCGGTTACCCGTTAGGTTCTCCGCGACAATCTGAATAGACTAATATCATTCGGTGAAGGAAAACATCGTGAGGAAACTTAAGCTTATATTTTTTATCCTTACTATATTATATTATTAATTATTATTATTAATATTATAAATCTGAAAGTGAGTTTGTTTGTTTGTTTGTTTGTTTGTTCCACCTTCACGTCGTAACTACTCAACCGATTGCTTTGAATTTTTGCAGACGTAAAGTTAGAAGTCTGGATTAAAATAATAGGGTACTTTTTAACCCGGAAAAAAATGATATTCCATAGGAAAAACAAAAGTATTGATACAGATGGCGCTGTGTGTATTGGTATATGTCACATAGGCTACTATTTATTCTTTAGTGACGCGAGCGAAGTCGCGGGTAAAAGCTAGTTAATTATAAGTTTGAAATCACCAACCCGCATTGAGCAAGCGTGGTGGTTAATGCTCAAACCTTCTCCGTGTGAGACGAGGCTTTTGGTCAGCAGTGGACACTTATCTATAGGTATAGTTGATAATGAGTTGATGGATACGTTAACTCTGGCTTTATACAGGGTGGAATGTTGTAATGCCATCTGAAGGGGAAGTAATAATACTTAATCTTAACTCGTCGAGTACCGTATTTATAGACACAATTAAAGAACAATAGGTCGCGGTCACCGGTGACCGCTTGGTGTTTGACAGTTTAATACTTAAGATAGAAAATTTTACTCAAAGAAACCATTCCTTTATTTTTGAAAAGAAACAAAACTGCATTCAAAGTTTTTTTCAAAATTAGCTTGCCTCACACGGTAATCGAACTGACTAAAATCTTTCAAAGTTTGCACCCTGTACTTTTATTGCATCGAGGTCGCAAGTGCGATTGCTGGGCAAGGGGTATCGGGTTAGATTCCCAGGTAGGGTATAGTATTATAGGATTTTTCAAAAAAATCTCAGTAGTAGCACGGAATCTGGAATTGTGTCCGGTATATAGCAATAGGCTCACCCCCTATTACATGGGACTCATAATATAAATAGTGAAAAGTGGGTGTTACATGGTACAGTGGCATTAAATGCCGTAATGTGTATCTCTGCCTATCTCTTCAAGGTAAAGGGCGTGATGTTATGTTATGCTTACGTTTCTGTCTCAATTAGAGCGATGTCATGATATTTTAAACCGGTCTGGTACTCCGGATGTGGGAAGACTCTCTTGACGTCATATTTCTGCCAATCAGTAGCATTCATACGATTTGAAATCCCCACAGCCACATATTTCACAGGCCCTCTGAAAATGAGAAAAATATCATTAATCTACTTGTAGATTCTGATTAATGTCAATACAATTTCAATCCAGACTGCCTCGTTGCCCGAGTGGTCGCAATTGTGACTGCCGGGTAAGGGGTCTCGGGTTCGATTCCCGGGTCGGACAAAGTATTACTGGGTTTTTAAAAATTCTCAGTAGTAGCACGGAGTCTGGAACTGTGGCCAGTATATGGCAATAGGCTCACCCCCTATTACATGGGAGTCATAACATAAATAGTGAAAAGTGGGTGTTACATTGTACAGTGGTATAATGTGCACCTCTGTACCCCTTCGAGGATAAAAGGCGTGATGTTATGTATGTTATGTTTTTCGATCCAATAAAATCTCAATCATTATTCAATGTTCGTTTTACTTTTGTTAAGCTGGCAGTGGTTGGACTTTTTCAATTTTCTAAGAATATTATCTTTTGATTTATATCGTTGTGGGATCCAAGACAGTTATTCATATCCCTTGACGCGCCGGACTTCAGTATTCCGGTGTTTGCATAGTTGTATCTACTGTAGATCCTGGTGCACAGGAGTTG